TATTTTTTATTATAGTCAAACATAAGAAGACAATTTTGGTCTATTTAGTAAATAATAAGCATTTGTTTATTTCTAATTAGGATCATTATTTTTGTTTTAAGTGTCTTGTTTTATTCCTTACACCAGATTAAGTAGTTACTATTAGATTTGATTAAGTATTAGATTAAGTATTTCTATTCATAACCTACAAGTTTTAATTATAGTGATTTCATTACATAATACATTAGGTCTAGGATTTTAGTCATTACATTATATATTTTTAAAAAGATAGTACTATAGCCTAAGTAGTACATGGAATTCAATAATACAACCGGATACTTATGCTATTAGATAATTCTGTATACCTTTTATTAATTATCATACTGATTGTTAAATATATTAATACCTAATGATTTGTACCCAATCTATGATTTCAAATATCAGTACTAGTACTTATACGTTTAAATGTTTTTGCGTGTTAGATAGAAATATATAGGATTAATATTTTATAATAGAACAGTAGGTAATATCAGTATACAATAAAATAACAAATAGTAGTAACATGAAACAGCAAACAATAAACATAGCATAGAGTACTTTTGGGAGAGAGCAGATAGCACGACATGCATAGGTTAAATACGAAATGATTTTCATTTAATGTTGTATCGGTAGCTACCGGGCTTTTGACCAAAGCGAAATATTGGATAAATGCATGTTTTACTTCTCTCTCTCTCTCTCTCTCTCTCTCTCTCTCTCTCTCTCTCTCTCTCTTTTATTTTACATGTTTTTAAATGTTTTTTTTAATTATTTTACTACTAGCAGTTATGTCACAACATGATCTAAATTCTGTGCTGTTTAGATTATGTCGAATTTAATTCACCCTACCTTTGTATTCTTGTACCGTTAATATTCAGACATACTTGGATGTTTATGATTTTGTATCTGGTCATAATTATAAATTTCTGTAGACTCCTTATTTGCTTACTGTAAACAGTCGACCGGCGGGCTAGTGCCTATATTAACTGCGTGCCTTTTTATTTACATATTTATAATTTATATATATAAATACATATATTTTAATATCATATCTATTTTACATACCTTACAGTAATTCGTTTTACAATACAATGTCTGATGATGGTTCCTTTTACTCGATTTCTGACTCAGATTTATCATTTAAATCCACTGAAGATTCGGTAACAGAATCGGTTAGCCTAAACATGTTTATTGCTCAGCAACTTACAAATTCTCATAAACACTTCAATGTTTGTCACATCAATGCGCAGAGCTTACCACATCATTTCTCCGAACTTTTGGATATCTTTACCGATACGATCCATGCTATCTTAATCTCTGAAACCTGGCTCAAACCATCTCTACTCTCGACTTCTTTTAGTATACCCGGCTTTGTGCTATTACGAAATGATAGACTAGGAAACCGAGGTGGTGGAGTGGCGATCTACCTTCGCTGTGGTATCCCTTATAAAGTTATCGCATCTTCTCCTTCTATAGCATCTGGATCTCTTGAGTATCTCTTCGTAGAAGTTCTCTTAAATGGAAACAAAATTATTCTTGGAGTTGTATATTCTCCGCCTTCAGTTAACTATTTTCATGATCTTGAGTCAGCTATCATGAATATCGCATCTGAGTACGCACATCACATAATTATGGGCGACTTCAATACTGACCTTTTGCAGAACTCTTCTAGATCGCGAGAACTACGAATGATCATGAATTCAGTAAATTTCTCTATTCTCCCACTTGGACCCACGCATTCTAATATTAACACTGCTGATTCATGGCTAGATTTGATAATCGTTTCGTCTACTGAACATGTTGTAAATCATGGGCAGTTTTCGGCTTCTGGTTTCTCGCGCCATGATTTTCTATTCATTACCTATAGAGTCAAATCGCCTAAAGTTACCGCACCTGTTCTGCGTCTGCGTAGCTTTGCGACTCTGGATATGGAGTTGTTGAAACGGAAAGCCGCCTCAATAGATTGGTCAGATATTTTTAATACATCAGATGTAAATCATATGGTAGAGACACTGACTAATAATATCCTTCAGTTATACGATGCAGTAGCGCCGATTCGCAATGTTAAAGTCAAGCGCCCCCCAGCACCGTGGATGGACAGTAACATCCGTAAAGCAATGGCAAAACGTGATCGGGCTTTTGTAAGATTTAAAAACAATCGCTGTGATGCCAATTGGAATGTATATAAGGCTACCAGAAACAGATGCAATCAGATGTTTCGAGCTGCAAAACGCCGACATATCCATAAGAATATTATAAGCTCTTCGCCAGCCGGCATTTGGAAATTTCTTAATTCCCTTGGGTTAGGTAGACTAAAGAATGGCCCTGATATGGGGTCAATATCTCTCAATGATCTTAATAAGCACTTCTCCTCGGCAACTAACGTCGATAATTCCATTAAACATAGAACTATTTCTCTTATCTCATCACTTCCCAAAATCGACGCAAACTGCTTTGCTTTTTCTCCAATAACTGATGAAGATGTTCGTAAAATTATTTTTTCCATTAAATCTAAAGCAACTGGCTATGATGATGTGAGTAGAAATATGATTATCCCCATACTTGACAACATTCTCCCAATCATTACCCACATCATCAATTTTTCTTTCTCTACTGGGGTTTTTCCATCTTTTTTGGCGTAAAGCATTTGTCCTTCCACTTGCCAAGTTAAATAATCCCAGTTCTGTTAACCATTTTCGACCAATTTCTATACTTCCCTTTCTTTCAAAGACTTTAGAATCAGCTGCATACAAACAGTTATCCAGCTACATTTATAAAAATAATCTTCTTAGTCCCTTGCAATCAGGTTTTCGTCCTGGGCATAGTACAACCACTGCTCTCCTTAAAGTTCTTGATGACGTACGAGAGGGTATGGAGGAATCAAAATTAACGGTTCTCGTATTAATTGACTTCTCCAATGCTTTCTGTACAGTTGATCATGACATTCTTCTTGCTATCTGTAAATACATGGGTTTCTCTTCGTCAGTTTTGGATTGGTTATCAACTTATCTTCGTGGTCGCCAGCAAAGAGTTAAAGTCAACCAACAGTCTTTCTCTGATTGGTCTGATCTTACTACTGGCGTTCCACAAGGCGGAATTCTTTCTCCTTTATTATTTTCTATTTTTATAAATCTCATAACTGTAAATTTCAAATGCTACTACCATCTGTATGCTGACGATTTACAGCTGTACGCTCGGATTGATCCAGCAGAGGTTAACTCCGCGATCGAAATTTTAAATCTAGATCTTGAGGCCATCTGTGACTGGTGCAGAAATTATGGAATTGCTGTCAATCCTGTTAAATGTCAAGCGATAATTCTCGGTAGTCCTCGCCGTATAGCTAAATTAGATTTTAATTCACTGGAGCCTATCGTTTACAATAGCACAATTATTCCTCTTAGTCAAGTAGTTAAAGACCTTGGGTTAATAATTGATGCTAATTTAAGTTGGCGTTCTCAGGTGGCTGAAATAAGCCGGAGAGTGACAATCACCTTGCGTGGCCTTTATCGTTTCAAGAATTTCCTTCCAACCGAGACTAAGGCTATGTTGGTGCGAGTGCTTGTTTTACCACTCATTGATTATGCTGATGTGTGTTACTCTGATGTGAGTCAACTACTTCTGTGCAAATTGGATCGTTTATTAAATAATTGCATCCGTTTTATTTTTGGCCTTCGTAAATACGATCATGTATCCATATATCGTTCTAAGCTTAAATGGCTCCCTATCCATCAGCGTAGATGTATCAAAATTCTTCGCACGCTTTTTTCAATCCTATATGATCCATGCACTCCCCAATACCTGAAATGCAAGTTTCAGTATTTGGGTTCTTCTCACGATCGTAACCTGCGATCCTCCGAGGGAACTACATTATGTGTTTTTCCTCGCCGTACCAAATTTATGTCTCAGTCTTTCGCCGCTGAGGCCATAAGGCTATGGAATAAATTACCCCCTCATATCAGAAAACCGACTTCTGTTGCCACATTTAAGAGGATGGTGACTGATCACTACCTTTCTTCTTCCAGCAAGTAACTTTCATATTTGTTTCTGCTTATATGTGACTTGATATCTTAAATTATTTAATTTGTTTTAGTTATGTTCGTATGTAAGTATACTTAAAATGTATGTATTATGTACTATTTAAACATTATGTATGAAATGTATCATATATTACTTAGGTTAATTGTAGTTGTGTATATTTATTTTTGTATTTACACTTATGGTATGTCTATTTATATATTTACATTTACGTATAAATTATCCACATATTTTATGGCACCTGCTAAAGTTCTCTGCTTAGCCCATGGTTGACTGGTAGAGAATGCCTAAAGGCATTAAGTCCGCCAATTGTACATTTTAAGTGCAATAAAGTTTTTTTAAATTAAAAAAATTAAAAAAAATTGAATCCGAACATACATACATACAAACATTTACGTGGTAGAGCCATGCTGCAGTTATATTAGTAGTATAGTTATAGCACGAATGGGTCGGCTCGACCGGGGAAGGACCACGCACTTACCATCAGGTGGACTGTGTGCTAGTTTGTTACCCTATCCTATAAAACATACATACATATGTACACACGGACATCCTCTTAAAAACCATACTATTCGACTCTAAAGACCTTGAAACGTGGAAATATGTTAAAATTTCCAATTTGCAAAATCAGACCCATTACAATAACTTCCCACCGGGAAGTTAACGCTGTAAGATTAAATGTGTACAAGCGACTTTAATATAAATAAAATGAGAATATCATCAATGTACTCAAAGTCAATTTAATACGCATTTTTAAGGATAACTCAAAAACTACTGGTCAGATCTTAATCAAATTTAAATAGGACCGCATGAGAAGCGCCAGCTTTCTAAAAGGAACATTAAAAGCGGTTCACCTAGAAAAAAGTTCTGAGGCAACACACATAAAAAAATACAATCGAATTGAGTACGTACTCCTTTTTCGTAGTCGGTTAAAAATATCTTTGTTTTACCTGGACAGTGGGCGATAAGTTTCTTGATTTTATACATGCTCTAAGATCCGGTTCTGTGGCGACAAACTTATCCGATACGGACACAGATCCAGAGGAAGCTACGCGGGCTGCGGGAAACGTTGGTTGCTTGGAACCCAAAGATACAGGCGGCACCGGACGCCTGGCCGCAAATAGTCGACTTAACTCATCCAATTTATTCATTATTATTTTGTATGTTTTGCATTCGTCTGTCTGTAAGTTATAAAGAACGTTAGTAAAGTTATTTATATGTACTATTTATATATTATGTATATATGTATGTATGTATATTGGTATGTATGTATGTATGTATGTATATATGTATAAATAGGAGATATTTCTATAGTTTATTTATTTTATATATCAGTGAAATGTATATATTACGTTGTTAATTATTTTTATTTTGTTTTTTATTCTACATTGCATAAATAAATAAATAAGAATTACAAATCAATTAAAGACGATATTCGTTTCTTGAGTTGTTACATGGAAAGTGTGGACCATACGGCCTACATGGAAGTGAGTATGACTTAAGGTATATAGTGTGTGGCCATAAAGTTTACTAAAGAGATTGTCGGTCGCTATCAGCTCGCTTTAAATAAAACGTTATATAAAGTCTATATCAGCCTACTGCTGGGCACAGGCCTTCATATGTCTTCGAAATAATTTTGAAATACGAAATATGCAGGTTTCTTCACGATGTATTCTTTTATTGTCGAGCACGTGGTAAACCAGACCTTAAAACTGAAATAAACAGTTATTTTCTTGCCAGCGGAGATCAAAAAATACAACATGGCGGAGATCGAACCCGGGTTGCTCGCGTACTACGATATTTAAGTCCAACACTTAGCCCACCACGCTGAGCTACCACGGTTTTCCATAAAATATTAGTCAGGTGTTCATTTATAACTTATATAATTTATCATATTTTCTCTAGATATGGTTGGCTAAAAAAGTTTAATAATGTACAAACATAGATTTAAACATTAGAATAGGGCTCTGTTCATAACGTCACGATAGTGTTCAAATTAAATAAATAATAAATTAATAATCACTCGGATGGTAAGTGCTCTCTGTAAATTTCACTTTTTATATCATATACGTAATTATGACAGGATAATGCATATACATACTTAAAATAATAAATAAAATAAAAATATATCTTAATAAATAAATAAAACCCAACGAAACGGAAGTCCACGGCATGGAAGACCAAACAGCTGAGTGTTGGAGAGAAAGGGAAGGAAACCAGTACAAATTATTAATGCCCTGACTATTCATGTCCGTAGACCTCATAATACTGGGTATGGTACTGTAGCAAGTAGGCCTAGGGAGAACTTGCCGCGATCGTTGAGTTTGGCTGCGAGCTTGGTTATCGGAGTAGCACATATTAGGTATATAGATATTGCACGGGATTTAAATTCAAACTAACCCGATGTTTATCCTTGCGTCGTTCTCTTGCACTGCGGCTACTTGAGCTAAAATCAGTAGATTCAACACTGGAGGACGAACATTCGGGGTTTGGTCGTTTAGGCCTCGGCCGCTCAAGTTTCGAACGCTCTTGCTTCGTTCGGTCTGGACGCCGATCGCCGCGACGTTCTGCATGCCTCTCACTACGACGGTCATTTTGTTTCTCGCCTAATTGTTCGCAGAGCTGGGCAACTCGGGCTATCTGCTCCTGTTGTTCACGAAGTGCCCTTTCACATGCCGCCCGGAATGCTAGCAGCGATGCTGTAGATCCAGGCGCCCGTGCTGAATCCCTACATCTATTGGTCGTTACGTTGCCACTCTCTCGCCTAAATTGTTTCAAAACATTATCAATATTATACCTTCAGCTTCATTAGCCCGCAAAATCTGTTGCTGGTTATACCTAAGGTGCCAACTCGTTGCTGGCCATGGGACTTTCCCGTTGGGAGGATTGGCTTCGATCGTCACGCTTCATACAGTCAACTAAATTATTGGCTGTTTTTGACTCGAGGGATATTGACGGCAAAATATGTTGTTGGATGCGGGACTTTCCCGTTAAGAGTATTTGCTTCGATCCTCACGATTCATACAGTCAACTAAATTATTGCCTATTTTTGACTGGAGGGATATTGACCGCAAATTGTGTTGTCGGATGCGGGACTCTCCCGTTAGGAGGATTTGCTTCGATCGTCAGGCTTCACGCAGTCAACTAAATTATTAGTTGTTTTTGATTGGAGGGATATTGAAGGATAAAAAGTCCGGAGGCCCAGTCCGATCCTTTCTTAGCCATATATAATTCAATACAGTACATATTACTCCCAATATTAAAATAAATAAGACCGAACCTTCCAACAATTACGTTTGGAAATAATGCAACCAATATTATTGCATTTTCTTTAAATAGAGGTGACAAACGAGTACCAGTTCATCTGATGGTTAGTGGAGTGTTGATTGTGGGATGGATGTAGAATCAAAATGCAGATACGTTTTCATCTCTGAGGACTAAAATAGAATGCTTCGAGTAAAACGGGCTGAGGTTCTCTACACTCACGATACAAAACACAGCAGCATTTAGCTGCTATTTTACGCTGGTACTATGTCAGAGCGTGGTCCTTCACAGGTCGAGCGGGCCCATTCGTGCTACAACCAAAATATAAATGCACATATTTTTTTTTAATGTAAATTAATTTTATTAAAAAAAGTCACACTGGGTTTCTTGTTGATTCTTCGCAGGACAGAGGTTTTTTCCGAACCAGTAATAAAAGTAAAAATGACTGTCAATAAGTATTATTGTAATCTATATTGAATAAAATGATTCTATTCTATAATGTAATGCCATTATACAGTTCATACATTTCTACTAATTGGTAGAATTCGTTTCCTGCCTAGAAGACTATCTGGATAGATACCATCTTCTTACATATTTCTGCCGCCGCCAAATAACAGCACTACTCTGCTGCTATAATAACAGGCTGTGAGGTATTCCGTCTTAGTCCTTAAAGGAGACAGCGCATCTGTACCTTTCTTTGTTTGAAAATGGCTGCAGGTGTCCATAGACTGCTGAAGTCCTCCTGGGACTGTTGGTTCGATTGTCACTTGTTTTACTTTTTTAAATACCTATTTTTTTACTATACTACTAGTCCACCCCTACAAAAAGAACATGCACAGTATAAGCTGTAGAATTAAGGGGGCGACAAAAGTTAATTATGCTCTCTCAAAACTGATCGAACTTTTTGTACTTATCTTTCTTTTCTAATCTAAAATATTCCACGAGTAGAACCTTATAGAATAGAAAGGGTGCCATGTCGGTTTAGTCCTCTAAGCTACACATTGCGACATGGCATCATTATATTTGGTATACCCAGACGGAAAAATCTCAAAAGTAGTTTTTATGGGTTTCAGATTCTTTCACCTAACTATACGTTTGCAAATCTATTAATAAAAGTATACTTATGGTCTACACTCGTCCCACAGCAGAGCATAAGTCCTCTCAAGGGTCTCTCATTTCTGAGAAGGTTATCCATTAGTCAATTAGTCCGCCGTGTTACTCCAGAGCTTGCAAACGAGTTCAATATGTCTTCGAAATATGTTTATTCCTCAGACACGCAGGTTTCCTCATAAAGTTTTTCTTTACCGCCGAGCACTTAAAATTACTTTACAATTTTATTGGTGCCGGCGGAGATCGATCCCAGGTTACTCGCATACTGTGATGTTTACAGCGACCACTTGGCCCCCGAGCTACCACGACCTTTTCCGCCATAATTCCCTTAATTTTACTATGCTTTTAACCTCAATAGCCGTAATAACAGTTCACACATAAGACATAGGAAATCTTCCGTTGGCGGAATGTTTTACTAGCCATTCGCATGCCAGGCAGATTAGCCAACACAGTAACTTACCGTTAACGCTGCTCTACGTCGCTGATCTGGTTAAATGACGCCTGGTGATAACGCTGATAGTTATACCGACATCTATCGGTAACCGGGAGAACTTTCTAATACTTCGCCGCTTTGAGTGAATACAAATCCCCCTTCTAAAGGAAGAGATCAGTCACGTACTAATAACTTTTTTTTTCTATACGCCATTGATAGGTTATTTCTATGGATGATTTTAGAAAAAGGAACCTATGCGATCGCCGCCTGTGTCGAGGATTACTACCGTCCGAAAGCCCCGAGTCGTGGGAGAATCGCTTCGCGTGGAGCAGGCCACCGCTGTCGCTGCTGGTTGCTGTAGCGGTGCCACTGTCGCTGCCGCAGCTAGCTCTGCCGCGGCCCTTCTTGCGGCTTATACCGCCCGCATCCACTACCAGACGCTGGCTAAGAAACATTACGACATACATAGCGTCACGCCTTTAATCCCAGAGAGGGTAGACAGAGTCCAAAGGACAGCGAGCTACTTGGACCAGGTTAACTAAAAATATAGCTATATTTGGAAAATTGTGAAAGAAGTGACAGATAACTAGCACATCAATCACACCCCCACAATTACAAACCCAATGCCCCATTATTCCCCTTTTACGACATGCTAGGCAGGTACACAGTTAGCACATTCTTTTTTGTTATATTTTCCACACAAACGTGGAAATTGAGTCCCAATATGAATATGTGATGAAACATTATCATGAGTTTTGGCTTAAACATTTGTAAACCTGAAGTCCAAATTTTTCCCGCACTAGAAGATACTTTTAAAAATAGTGGAGCTTAAGTTAAACTCGCCCAGTGGAACGTCATCATAAAATAGAAAAGAATAAGAAATAATTGAGAACTACTAGACGGAGTGACGATCACGTATGACATGCAGGAAGTCTGTGGACGCAAATGGCTCAGGGCCATGAGCTTTGGCATTTCTTAGGGGAGGTCTTTGTTCACCTTGGTAAGGGCTGTAATGATGATAATGATAGTTTTTGTCGTAATCTCTACAATTTAATAGACTTTATTGGCAATCGCAGATTTTTATAAAATTTCTCTCTGAACTCTGAAAGACTAACGGGACGAGTTATGGCGATGTATACAGGTAAGTACTACAATATTTAAACTCCCATGCAGTCTGCAACTCTCCGCATGCAGGTTTTTACATTATTATCTTGCGAGTATTAGGTACTCGTACGTTGTTATCCATTTCGTCATAGAACGCGATTAAATCCGTTCAAACTCTGATGTAATTAAAATATCATAGGCACGCACCGAGGGAGGAAAGTATGACTTCAGTATTGATAAGAACGCGGGTTGCGATGTCATACTTTAATCCCATTGTGCGTATACAATTTTTTTACCATACGTTGATCGAAATGAAGGTACCTCAAAATGTATCATGAGTCATGACTTCATGACATACTTTTATAGAGCTATAAATTTTACACATGCGTACAAAATTATTGTTAATGGGTGCGTTTCAGAAAAAGCGCTAGCAAGCGCTTGTAACAAAAGGCCAAATTTAACGGGGAACCTAACCTAATTTAAATATATTTTGATATTATATAAAAACTTACCAATCATAAAATTTTAATAACATGTAATGTCATTCATGTCATTATATTACTTAAAACAAATTGCAAAAAAAAAACAACTTATAACTCTACTTCAAAACAAACAAATTAAATAAAAGCTACGAAGAGAAATGTCCTGGCGAAAACTATTTTAGCGCTAGTAAGCGCTTTTTTCTGCCAAACGCACTCATTGTATCGTGAGGCAATGTGGCACTTTCGTCCCTGAAAGTAGTGTCGAAATACGAACTTCGCTCATGGTAGAATGTTCAATCAAGGTATGATAAAAAATTATATTTTTCATCATCTTCATCAGTCAGTAAAAGTTCATTGCTAGCCATGGGCCTCCCCGGTTGTTGGGAGAATTTGACTTTATCATCACGCAGCCGGATTAACCATAACAATACCAGAGACGTCTCGAAACATTGACACTTCTCTCCATCGTTATCGGTCTATGTATTTTACACCAGGCGTAAACAAGGTGACATCGGGAGCCTTTTTGGCATATCCCATTGGCGCTTCTTACGACATCCACGAAAAGTGGGATGTTGGATTCCTTTACGCTTTATTATTTTTCACGTAAGTTCTATATCGTCATCATCATCATCATCACTACAGCCAATTCTTTTGGACATAGGTCCTTCTTCTCAAATTTACAATACAATACCTAGCCAAATTTATTCAAAACGACTATACCATCGTCGTTCGTGTCTTGGAGACTGTCCAGGCCGGACTGTTGCACGCATGTAGCGGTCCAGGTCGATGATATTGGCTGCGCCCTGCGGCGCTCCCGACCCTGACGACAGAGATGATTGCACGGACATATCCGCTTCGGCTACCCTGAACGTGGAATTAATTATAGTGTTAATGTTATTTTATTAGATTTGTTTACTTAAGTCATTAAATAAATATTGTTTATATTCTTGGAGGAACATTTATATTTTCTTGTACTAGGCACAGACCGATTTAAAGATATTATTTTACCGTCGGTTACACAAGTATGGTCAAGCAAGCATTATTTTTTCTTATCTTAAAGGAAATGTAATTACAAAGAGAAAAACGACGATGAAAAAGCTTTGTATACATACTTTTACAAGGTTAGAAAATTAATAATTGCACTTTTTCAAAATGTCCCTTGGATGTTCGATGATAATTATGCCTCTATCAAACTTTATGTTCTTTAAAACTTATATCTATCTAAACATATGATAGTAAAGATCACCTTTTTAAAAAGTATATGAAAACTATCCAATTTATGTATTAAGAACGTGTAACCACTTGACAATAAGTCTTTCTTTGTAATAGTGTTCAGTGCTTTCCTCAATGTAGGGCTCTGGAATGTCGTGACATGAAGGGCCATAGCCATTGTTGTTAAAAAATCCTCATGACTTTTGCTATCAATTGTCATACACTAGTCACTTTCTTTTTTCTACTTGAATGAAAAGATAATAACCTTCGGGGCGCCTTAATATTATTAGGTAAAGGAGTATTTAATAAAGTGCTTTTTTAAGATGTTCGTGTTCAATAAATATACCCATTGCCTCAGATATACTCCAGTATATGAACTAATGTTTATTTAATTTATTACCTACTTTTACTAATATAGATTTAAGACTTATTCTGTGTATTTTTTACAAATTAATTGTAATTATTATATCATTAAGGTAAGTCTTGTTGGTGATTTAGTCGGCTCTGATTTAATGGTTACGGTGACATAGGTTTATACTATTTTAATATTATAACTAATTATTGTACTTTGAATGTAATTATGAATACTTATTGCATTTGATATATTAATTTTAGAAATGATTTATAATTTTAGTTTTAGAATTATATTGAATGAATGTAATACCTACTACTACCCTATGATCCTTGTTGGTAGAAATAAATAAATAAATAAAAATTGAAATGATTGAGTATGTTAGATACCGGCAAAATTTCAATTATGAAACAAAGATGAAGAGATTTAATTTAAACAAACACACCATGATTTTTGTAATATATATTTGATATTGTAACATTTACACGTGGCATATTTACACATAAAAAAGTCAAAAATAAAAAGCCAAAAATGAAAATTTATAACTGATTTTAATTAGCCTCTGGGTGAGAAAAGAACCAGCCTTACTGTCATCAGAAATGTCACCACACATCGGTACGAGGAACCGATAATCTCTCCATTAAATAGCACACTATAGACACAAATATTAGCATCACCCAGAGAATACACGTATTTGCTCCATTATCTCAATCTAACAACCTCTGGCCGTCCCGGCTCTAATCGTGATCGTTCTAAAGATATCGAAAAAACGTTGCAAAAGTGTCTACTAATACATACGTAGAGAGTTAGCGTCCCACACCACACGGGGTTCTTAGGGTTCCGTAATTAAACAACTAGGAACCACTATACTTTCGCCTTGCCCGTACGTCCGTCCGGGGCTCAAAGTACCCTAGGTACCTTAGCCCTGGCCCGACACGCACTTGGCCGGTTTTTATTACCTCTTTTCTCTTCCAAGGGCCAAAGTCAGCAAAAACATGCCTTCGGGTGAGTGTTATATATATTAAAAACTCCTCAAGTTCTGAAACCGATAGAATATTTATACCAACAAGCAACAACCATTCAACAAGCCCTTTGGGAATGATCGTTCAAAGACCCCGGACAAACAGGCTGTACTTTTCTTATCTTACAAAGAGGCTTAAATATTAAATATCAAATTTTTGTACGCTGTTAATACGAGGAAACTGATGTACTTTTTGGTGACAATACTTTATTTCATTTTACTAACCTCTTACAACTTAATATAGGTAAGCCAACGTTTAACTACAATCCCATCTGATGGCAAGTAATGATAAATTCCTAGATAATAAACAGCTACGTCATAGCGCAACAAGTCCTTTGGTCTATTTCGTTCATGTCCATCGAACTATATTACTTACGTAGTAGTAATACCTTAATGTTCATGTCACATTCACGTCATGATGTTCACATATAACTTGTTATGTGTATCACTAAAAATTTCAATAATTTCAGTTTGTTACGAGTTTTTTTTTGTTTTTACCTACCTTATTGAAGATACGTTCGCTATTTGCGTTTCAGTGTAGCAGACAAAAATTTGAAATTTAGAAACAACAATAAATCTCGATACGTGTGTTTTATACAGGGTAGAGCAATGCAGCTAGATATACATGTAAGTAGTAATGGGTCGGCTTGGCCAAATAAGGACAACGCTCTCACAGAACATCAGCCTAAAATGGCAGCTGAATGCTGCTGTGTTTCGTATGGCGAGTGTAGAGAAACGAAGACCCTGTTTACTGAAAACGAGCCATTCCGTCTTATTCTACAGAGGTGACAAATGCATCAGCATTTTAGATGTAGATGTCTATGTTCTACTGCATCCACTTATCATCAGGTGGACTGCCCTATATAGTAGATATATCTATGGATATCTATGGACTGTGTTTTCGTTTTTTCTTTAAAAACCAATGTGTAGCGGCGCTGTTATCGCGCCATAAACGAAACTAGTCGAAGACAAAATCACACTATCAAAGTTTCCGAATTACTCCGACATATATAGAAAAGCTTTGTACTACCACACAGAGAGTAAGTCGCGTTGCCGCTCCTTTCAGCCTACTGAAAGGAGCGGATGCGACTTTTCACAACGCGGCGCGGCAAGGTTAGGACCTTGCTTGGTGAGAGATCTTACATTTTCCTTCTACGGTCAATAATTGATAAATCCCACGTAATGTGAACAACGCACCTTTCGGAAACCTAAACTTCAAGCTTTCGTCATCGTCCTAAGCATGGAGGTTAGAGAACAGGAGAACGATCACTGCGTACTAAACCATAGCCCGCCTGTCCTTGAAAATTTGTAGAATTTATAGTGGCGCTACCGTCGGTGAGTAGTGGCTGCTAAGTTAGCTGTTAATGAGTACAAGTAGATAAAGTTAGTTGAATAATGTACTTCGCGGCATTGGTGAGAAAATTTTCATGCTCCGTAATTTTTTGACTTTTGACAAAAAATGGAGTAATATTTTTTTGTGCGTGGATGTGCAAGTGGTTTAGCATCTGATCGGAAAAATAGACTGAAAATGACTTTTATTGAGCGAACTTAGCGATCGCAGCGCCTCACTTATGGTGTCCATATTTCTGGGACACTATTTTCTACGGCGATCGCTCTCCTGTTCTCTAACCTCCATGGTCTTCTCTATAAAGAATCTCTTTCATTCGCTCCTGAACGAACATCATTGAAATCACCTTTGCTGTTCATAAAGCTACTTTCTGTGCCAGTGTTCGGCATTGTTAACGAGCCTTATTTCTTCACTGCTCTCGGAGATAACGTACCTTTTCTCGATTCACCGCAGATTATAATGCAATTTCTGGCACTTGCACCTTCAACTTGTAACATATATGATGGGCAGTATGATTAAAAATAAAAAAACTGCGGTTGCCAACCCATGCTAAGCGTAGCAATTGTGGCACATATCCCGCTTTAGAGGCAATCTGACAATCTATAGAGGAGGTCTAAATTCAGATTTGGACTTTAGATTGGCTGTAACAGCAACCGGTAAGGGTAAAAATCTTTAATACACGTGACTTCTCTAAATGCCAACCCCACTTGGTCATGAGTAACCCTACAAATAAAAAATGGCGGTGTACAATAAAAACCTAGCCCTTTGCAATGTATTCCATAAGGACGCTCACATACATTTATCCCCCACTTAGCCTGCCCTTTTTCAATCCTATTCCCTACCTATAATATAGTGACGGTTGGATAAATGATGGATGAAAATATACTGTGCACCACGACGGTACGTACGAAATACGAATGGTTGTATCTGTGGATAAACCTGTGATCTCGCGCGGAACTATTAAATACTGGCGAAGTGTTAGCTCTTTGCCTGTACCTGTGTCTATTGTACTATCCTTTTGCATTTCCTAAATATTATTTTCTTCACTTTCGTATCTATACAAGCAGTATGCCCCATTCGAAAGTAGCCCAAAAACTAGTAAAGGGAAACAGCAATAGACTGTTCGACCATAATCTATTCTTGAAGCGACAGTAGCCTACTGGCAGGGTGCGGACCGCGAACTCAAAAGGTCGTGGGGTCGAATCCACCTTTCGACTACTGTGATGAACCACTCCTAACACAAGCGTTTTAAGCTTACCAGGAGTGGTCAAAGGGAATATTAGTGATGTTGATAGCATTTCTAATATTTTATTTAAAAAAAATCTATACAATGTGTCTGGTCACTAGTGTCGGAGACTTTGGGGGGATGAATTACAGTAAATTTTATCGACAAAAATCACTATCCCTAATTTTTTTCTCTCCATGACGAAATGGCAGCCGTTTTGTTTGTTATTTCTTTGTCTCGAGGCATGGGCTGAAGTTAGTCGCGAGTGGCTGCACAGATATAGTTTTTAGGAACAAAATGGTCACAAGAGTGGGAGGGTGGGCGATAACTAATTTAGGGATACGAATACGCATATTGCGCGGTTATTTACAATTTATTCTATAATCGATATAGACAAAACAAACGATTTCTCTAAACAATCTTGGGAGCGAATATAAAACGGCACATCTCTATCGACTAGCGTCTCTACATGCGAAAATTTCTCGGAAAGCCAACTTCAGTCCGGCCAAGAAATAACGCGCGGACCGTACATGTTATGACGTTAGACATGATATCGTTGGTAACCTGGGTTGACTTTTACAGCTACATGTGCGCGTCGGCTGTAGATCATGAAGTTCTAGGCTTAACATCCCGCCTAAATGCGTAATAATAAAATATAAAAAAGGTTTTACTAAATATTTAAAAATAAAACACCACATTTAAACCAAAATTCTTTGCTATTCGAGCTTTTATAAATCAACAATACATATACATTGTATAACTTTCGACATTATTTGTTCAATTATCATACACTGACTAATTTAACATAAATATCACTGTATCTCGGATACAATAAATCAATATAAAGCATTGGACCATTACACATAAAAATACATGCATATGCTATTTTCTACGTCGAGTTTCAATGCAGGAACATGTTTTAATAATGTCTAAGTGGTGCATTAACGCAAGCCTAGCTTATAAATTACAAATATGGCCAAATGAACATCATGTATATATGTATATTATCCAGTAAATCTCATTTTACAAAGCTTCTGGAATAGACAAATTGAGAAGGTTTAAAATTAAACAAATTTCTTATTAATAACACAAAATCTTTTTAAAGAATTATTTTTTTACATTTAGTTTCCTTGTTATGATAATTTTACTATTTTACATTGAACAAGTAAAAAGATTAAGATAATAATTAACGAAATAAATTTTCCATTACATTAAAAAATTCATTAACATTTTAAGTGGAAACAATAAAGGCAAATATAAAAGGTTACATTATTTAGTGTTCGGATACAAAAAATATCCAATATGAATCACAAAAAAAATTTACAAAATGTTGGTTTAATAATTAAATTAATTTAACCATAATTAATTCATAAATGTTTTAAAATTGTTAAAGGTAAAATTATACTTCATTAGCGACTATTTTGTTCACTCAGGTATCAAGATTTTTTTATACAAATTTATAGAATAAATATAGGAGATAGCTAACTTCAAGTCAATAAATACCAAATTGTATTTTTTTAGTTAATGGCTATGGTTGAAAAATAAAAAAATTATTTAATTTGATCGAACCAACTTAATACAATTGCACCAATTGGAACTAAAAAATATATTATTTTTTAATACATAGTCTGCAACGAATAGTTGTAGATGTACATATCTTTTCAGTTCATATTTGTTTTACAAAACCACTTATTGATATTCACGGGTTCAAAGAAGCCTTTGTCACTGAAGAAGTCCTGTAAAAGAACTACAGTCTTCGAGAAGTGAAAAGAGCAAGAGAAAAGATTGCATTTTTTTTCTACGTGACTTTTTTCTTGAAAAAGGCAATACTTTAGGCTTGAGACTAATTAGAATAAACTATTTTTATAAGAAAATAACTTTTTTGCACTGTTTATAGCTATTATCCTATAACACCTTCCAATTAAAAAACACATGATTAATTAGTGAATTAGTGTACGGTGTGCTTTATAATTAGTAGAATTATAAAGCACATAGTCCACATGATGGAATGTGGATGCAGTGGCTCATAGACACTTTATTAACCTCGTTTAAAAATCAGAATGCAAATGCGCGTATCACGAAAGAGTATTCTGGTAAGGTTCGTCGTTAATTCCAAGAAATATCACCAAACTAATCACAAATCGGAGTAACAAGGGGCAAATGAAATATCATTCAGTCTTTAATGCTTTTTTTAAACAAATGTGACTCATTTGTTTATAATAATGTAAAAAAAAACAATAAAACATTTTATTTAAATAATCACATTTTAAATTATACATATTGAAATCATTCAAATCTCACCGATTCCATTAAACAATCGATTCAATAAAAAATATCCTGATCCATTATTGAAGGGGTCTTTTGTTTATAATTATGATAAAATTCAATAAAATATTTTTTTAATAATTTCATTTTAAATTATACATATGAATTGAAATAATTCAAATCTCACTGATTCCATTAAAAATCGATTCTATGAAATAATATCTCGATCCATTATTGAAGGACTGCGCCAGTAGCCATCCCACACAAGCATGTGCACAAATTGCCAAAATATTTGTTATTACGATATGAATGATACTGTTTCTAAATAATGAATAAAAAAGTAACAAAATGTACTTGTATTTAAATAAAATGAACATAAAATTAACGATAACATAGTATATTATAAGTAAATGTATTTATAAGGATTATGTATTTAAAAGTGTAGACGGGCTGCATTTTTTCCATACAAATGTATTCCCCTATTCTCTTCCTGAATAATGCTTCTAGAGTAATCGTTTTTGTTTATAAAATCTGTTGAAGGCATACCCCTGATTACGCTCTTAAGAAATTATTTCAAAATAATAATTTTATCAGTTGTTTTCATGCCTTCTGATTTAATTTGAAACGGAATATACATGATAAAACTAATTTTAATAGGTTTAATAAGGAAATAATTCAAAAAATAATAAAAGGAAGTGTTCTCAGAAATTAATATGATGTATTTTAAATACATGAAGAAAGAACAATCTAAGGATTAAAGCTATAATTAGGTCTTACTAATTTCATACTAAAATAAAAACAAATACAAATGTATTAGCTATTGTGAGCAGTTATTGACATCTTGGACGATCGATACAACTTATATAATATTATAGTAATATTTGGTCAAATCTGTCGACCGAAATATTGAAAGCCCTGATCTACATGAAGTTTATTTTTGTTATAAGTTATCAACTACAGTCAAATGTCGCTCAAATCCTACACAATGAGCACAACCAAATACATCCAACACTTCATCCAATATTTCACCGATTAGTCCATCATATACATATGTACGCCTGTACTACTAGCACGAGGTGGCTGCACGCCAATAACGGTCTTGTAGGTTTATAAATAAAGTAGCAAACTGCGTGTCCAATGTGTTTAGCATTCGGCGTCGGCGCTGGGTCACTGACTGTTCGCTAGCTCATCCATGCGACATCTAAAATGAATAATAATTTTATAGAATAAAGGCTATAAAAATATTGCTGACTTCGATAACAACGGTAACTTTGAAGCTAAGAAAGCCATCGATTGCACAGAAGATAATAAAATATCATCAATGTGCGTGTTCCGTGTTTATAATTTTACACTTAAAAGGAGTTAAGTAATTTGTACGTATAAATTACTCAAAAAAAAAATATAACTTTGTAATTTCTTAGTGATGACGATATCTTTCAAAAAGTGGCGGAATTTGCAATACACGTATCTTAAGGATGTTCCAGTATAGCAAAGTGGTAGCGTAAGAGATTCTACTACCCTATATCATCCCGTGGGTGTCGAAGGAGCGACAAAAGGAAATTACAACAGGAAATGGGCAGCAGCATTTTCCTGATAACAACTCAAAATAATAAAAACTACGGTTAACAACTTTGGTCTTTAATACCCTTTGCATAAGTGATGTGAAGTTGGTCAGCTCAGTTGTAAGTAGACGCGTAGAAGAAGAATTGGGTTTACTGACAGCTTCACTCTCTTAACTTAAATTGTCATAATTAAAGAAAAATACAACAAAATGCGTTAAAAATAGAGATGGGCCGAATATTCGTTTTATATTCGGTATTCGGCATATTCGGCAGCTTTACCGAATATTCGCACTCGACCGAATATTCGGCTTAATCACCGAATATTCGGTAAAGTGGTACTCAAAGTATCCCCTGTATTGAAATGTATGTAGTGAAGTATATTTATTTATGGATTAAATCTACTTGTATAGCGTTATGTTTTTGAGGCACCGTAGATTTATTTCCAATTATAGCTAATAGAAAGTTTGATAACATTTTGTTTGGAATCAAACAAAGAAACGTTACATTAAAGTCGTCAGTTTCTCTAAAATAGGTCCAAAAATAGTAGATCTCCTGCCACTCATTTTCATCATATACTCATCAATTTTCACAAATAATAAAACAACGAAATACTTTTTTTTCTCACAAAAATAGTCAAAACATAATCATGTGCCCGCAATTTCCTCAGTACTGTAGATGATGCAATAACATGTCAGGTGTGGCGGAGAGCGAGTGGCAGGGTCCGGCGCTAATCCCGCGCGCTTTACGGTAACAAGTTTCGACATAAATTGGTTGTGTCCCGAGGTAGTCCTGCCGAATAATGTTCGGCCGAATATTCGGTTCGGTAAAAATTGTACCGAACTTTCGGCCAAATATTCGTATTCGGTGAAATCCATATTCAGCCCATCCCTAGTTAAAACTTGAAATTTCAATAATACTGGACGACCTTTTTTACCGTCTGGAAAAAATAGGGTGTAACATGTGAACGAAGTAGAAGCCTATGGCACTGATATTTTACAAAATATAAAAACAAACATTTTGAATTAAATGTTTGAAAAAATTTTTGTACACTTACTTTTCCCTTTGCCCTTGAACCTGTGACCCTGCGAAGTGACAAGGGTCAAAGATGACTACTGAATTTATTGTTTTATTGCCGTTCGTAAAAGTAGGGTGGATACGATTTGAATTTCGACAGATTTTAATTTATTTATTTATTTAATTCATAATTTTTGTTTTTTTTAATATCAGTGCCATAGGTTTCCACTCCGTTCACATGTTACATCCTATTTTTTTCCAGAGTGTAAAAAAGGTCATCCATTATAATTAAATAAAAATAAACATTTTAATCAATCTATTTATTTTACATATTCCACATATCGCACCTAGGTGCGCAATGCAATGCGAAATGAAAGTTTGATGATTCTGTTGTACGGTGTGCACATACTGTACTATTCTACCGAGGAAATATTTAATAATTTAGATATATTAATGTTATTTAATATAACCTACCTAACCGCCATTTCAGCTACCTCTAAGCTCGGGTAGTCAAGTTCTTTGACGAGGCATAGCACCGCAGATAACAGGTTGGAGTTCTGAAAAAAAAGGTATTTGGAGAAACTTAATTGAATATGGACTGGTGATTCATGCATCTTGTTAACACGTTTGTTCTACTAATTATTATTATAAATAGTAAAGTCAATTTATGTAACAAGTTTAAACGAACTGCTCACTCTAGTCACAGGTCGTCGCGTAAAACCACGGTGCTCAGCCATCACGGCCGACGGATACTCCCTGTCCCGCTTCTCTCTTTCTATCTCCCTCTCTCGCTCCCACTCACGCGGTTGATACACTTCCGACCTGTTAATAAGAATATACTTGATAACTTCTTCATTGAAAGATTTTAAACAAAACCAAACACATTTACAATATTTATTATAGTAAAAAATATCACTGGCTGTATTTCCTCGCTGAATAGCTACTTAGCCTTTGATCGAGAAAAGGACCAGCCAGATAGTATCTACAGCAAATGGCGCAAATATGTAGTCATCTCTCAGACTTATATTTGTACCATTTACTTTCTTTAAAATGCGCATATAATGGGATTTGATGACGCAAGAAAATACACCATTCTATCTCATTTGTTTGATTAATGAAAGCGCGAAAAAAATTCGTATCATTCACGGCTTGAGCTCAAGTAGAAAAGCGCGCCTCTATACCGGCTCGCCTTACCCACGGAGAGGAATTAGCGAAGATTTGTCCTCTCACGAAGAAACGCCAACTGCTGCTCCTGTATTATCATTTAAATAATGGTTTCAACAGAATTTTGATGCGTAAACGTGATGCAATTATGTGTATAAAATGGTTGTGCATGTTGTGAACTATAAAGTAATTAAAACGATGAAACAAATGCTCCGATGGTGAAATGAATCATAACTCTTCCTTGCCTCCGCAAGGCGAGTATACATAGGTATTTCCTCATGAAAAAAATCTAGATGCTGACAGAATGACCATTCAGCGAGTACTTAAAACGATATCACAATTAATTTTAACCAATTATAGAAAAAAAACATGCTTGCAGCTCACAGGCGACAAAAGTGAAACCTTCAAATGAAATGATATATAAAATATAAATACTTTATGGCAAGTGATTTATTTAATATTATAATTTAAACTACAAATTCAACATAAATATAAGAAAATTTAATTTTATAGTAAATAAATGTAACAATACTTTTAATATATATATATTAGACACATAAATATTAACATATTATCTTTCGAGTAAAATTAACACACGTTCAAAGCTGAGGCCCAAGCAAACTCTCACTATGCCTTGGTCACAGAATAAATAATAGTACTACGTACGAGGGGGTACGAAGCAGAGCACAGGGATAAACCACGAACATAAGAAACACTGTATAATGCTTCCTATCTCATTTTCTCCCACGTTAAATCTTATGAATTTATGTGTCTGTCTCTTTTTACTGTCGCTTTTTAGTTTCATAGACTTTGAATCACGATGCTAAAGAAGTTTTCACTTCAAAAATCAACACAGACTTACATTGAATCCAAACCATTGACCAGCAGTAACTAGTACCAATGTAATACAAGTTAATTTAGTTTTAAACTTCTAGAATTAGAAACCTTATCTAATTTGTATAAATCATAGAAAACTATAATACATACATAATAAATCGGGGGAGTGGGCGGAACCCGTATAGCCACTAACATATCAATTCACACCTATAAATGTCAACACAATGAATCGTTTTCAATTTTCGTGTCAAGCGTCGCTGCATGCAAATTATTTAAAAAATGACAAATTGTGCAATAATTACGTGTCGAAAGAACAGCGGGAAATGGAATTTAAATAAAGGAGACATTTCCTGCAACCAGTAAGTCGAAACTATTTATATTTAGTAAATATTAGAAAGAACAATAAAGAAATATTGATGTGTCAAAAACATTAATCAAGTCTAAAATGTTTAAATTCGCTCAGTCTGTCAACAAAGCGAATCGGGTTTGTAGTAGTGATAATACGACGTAATAGCTTCTATTTGTGCTCCTGGCGACACCGATCGTCGTACAAAATAAGATTGACAGCCATTCTATTGTATATTATAGTATTCTATGGTGTAAATATACGATTATTGATTACCTGTCTGTACGTTCGCTGTAAGGCTCGTGGCAGTGAGGCGTTGAGACCGCGCCACCACAGTGCCGCCAGTCGCCATTCGTAGGATATGAGTATTCCTAAAAATTACAACAATTTCATTAAAATAAATATACAACCTTTATCTTTCAAGATTTACGATATCTTTTATCACTTAATATCCTGATAGTTAAAGACATTCAGATAATTATATTAAATTGTAAGTATGGTGTATATGTGTACATGTGGGCCTCGACGTAGGCTTTGGAATTTATGGGGAACGCCCTAAGTTCGAACTTAGTATGAATTTGGGTAGATTCACGTCTATCTTCCAGGCAGAAATTTTCGGTATACTTATTTGTGCGGAAATCAATCAGCAAAAACACTACGTCAACCATATAATTTATATAGACTGTTATTCAAGCAAGAATATACTATATATATATATATATATATATATATATATATATATATATATATATATATATATATATATAAAAGTATATTCTTTAATACTTATTACACATACTTTTTATATAGGGTTTTTGTAACGAATTAAAAACACACACACACAGCACACAGTTCATCTGATGGTAAGTGGTTACTGTAGCCCATAGACATCTACATATATCCTCGATTAGTACGAATCAAAATGCAGATGCGTTGTCACCCGTGAGGACTAAGATGTTTCCAGTAAAAAGAGTCTATAATTCAGGGTACGAGAATCATCATCATCATCATCATTACAGCCCTTCACAAGTCCACTGCTGAACATAGGCCTCCCCCAAGCAACGCCACAAAGCACGGTCCTGAGCCACCTGCATCCATCGACTTCCTGCATGTCTTACCAGGTCGTCACTCCATCTAGTGGGGGGTCGCCCTACTACGCCTACCGGTACCAGGCTGCCACTCGAGAACCTTTCTTCCCCATCGGTTATCGGTTCTTCGAGCTATATGGCCGGCCCATTGCCACTTCAGCTTACTAATCCGTTCGGCTATGTCGGTCACTCTGGTTCTACTGCGGATATCCTGGCAAGAGCCCAAACTGGACACTATAATTCTGGCAAGAGCCCAAACTGGACACTGTTATCTTAAAAAGCACATGTCCATCATGGGACGAAGCAACTCAAGGATGTGTCCGTTCTGTTTTATAACTGAAGAAACGCCTCTACACATCCTAACACTGATTGCGGACCCTTAATGCGGAAACGTAACACTCATCTGGGAAAATATGTACTCCGCTCAGAAGTGAAATTGCTCACAGCTAAGCAACTTCTATTCATTGAAGACATAGGGCTTAGCAGTGAACTATAACCATAGCAGCGATTACAATGGATCTTTTGGGTCGCAGTGATACTGGTCTGTTTCCCTAGACCTGCATAGCTGCTTGCACATAAGAATAAATACAGTGAAGTACTTTTATAATTACTCATATAAACTAGAATATCAACAAAACAATTTTTTGAGATTTGTTGTTGGCTTTAGAAATTTTATATATTTCACCTGGAAAAGCAAAAAATATGTTAGGTAACAAAACTGTGTTCGCCAATCTCTAATATTTTATCTTTATTATAAATACCACAAGACATAATATATATTATATACTGCTACTTTAAACTAAAACTGTCTACGTGGTAGAGCAATGTTGCAGCTACATTAATTGTATAGTTTTAGCACGGATGGATCGGCTCGACCGGGGAAGGACCACGCTCTTACAGAATACCAGCGTCAAATAGCAGCTTAATTCTGCTGTGTTTCGTATGGTGAGTGTAGAGAACCGGAGACCCCTTTTACTAGAAACGAAGCATTCCATCTTAGTCCTCAAGGCTGCAGTCCAAAAGGCATTTTAATTCGCAATCGAGGATAGATGTAGATGTCTATGGGCCACAGTAACCACTTACCATCAGGTGGACTGTGTGCTCGTTTGTCATCCTTTTCCTATAAAAAAAAACTTGGTTAGTACATAGACCCCAGAATTCAGTAGAACACATGTAGAAATATTTGTATTTGTTATTAATATTTGTATTATATTATATTAATATTTGAATACAGACACATACTTTCGTAAGTTTTAATGTGATTTCGAAGTTGCTTCGGGTTTAGGAAGCAGACATCTGCTATAGAAGAACAATGGATTATGCATGTAATTCAACACAGAGAAGTATTAATGTGTGAGAGTGCAAGTTAAATTACTTGAATTAACTGGTTACAAACAAGCTAGAATATAATCAGTGCATGGTATTAGGCGATGAATTTACTGTCGTCTTACAAGTGCTGACAAGTTATATGTGTGTTTGTATACTGGTTACCTTAACATTGTGTGCGGACACGGAATGCCTCAAGGAAGCAGCATCAGGCGATCTGGGGCCAGTGCGCGTCTGGAATACAAAGCCTATAATGTATAAAGCTTGATGAAACAACTACATTGAAAACTCTACACGGACTAGGACTTAAGCGAAGATATGTAGCAGAAAGATTCTCAATGATATGACAACACGCGCTGAAAGATGTGAATAGCTATTTATTTAATATGGCGTCGTACAAAGGATATGATTGATGATTTTGATTACAACTTACTTTTATGGAAAAAACAACCAAATCTCCTTGCTGTGTTGCTAGAGGTAACTGTATTGTACACCTTATGGTCAACACACACGGCCAGTTGAACTGGTCAGTTTAAACGGATGTAAGCCAAAATTATTTCCCCATTCACTGGCTTCAACTTTCAACTTAAGATTTCACACTCACGGCCAGTATTTGAATATACGCCAGTTCAACTGATCAGTTTAACTGACTGTACGTAAGTTACTTTTTAAAGGGAATAGCCAATGTAAGTACAAAAAAGCAACATTCAAATGAAATTGAGTCGATTGTGCAGTGAAATAATATATGACATAATTGTAATATATACACACGAGAAGTACTAACCTCATAGTGTGAACTGGTCATTGCTGGATGCTCGTATCTTTCGTCCGGTTCTGGCGAGGCACCGCGTCGTACTGGCGACAAGGGACACGGCTGCGTGAAAAATAAAAGTTTTGCCATTTTTTAAAGCGAGAAGGTATAAAATAACAATATGTTTACACCTTTGTCAAAAACGAAACTTCAATTAGAGTATCAGTCATTAATTGGCATATCTAAATAAGTAGTCACATTGTATACATGCATAAAAATTAAGCCTCGTGAGCTCGTAACAGTAACCGACAGCTTATTATTTGCTTTAATTTTTTTTATATAATGGCGGAATAAGCTAATCTAATACCCCATATGAACAGATTCGAAGCAACATAATTAAAGTGACACAAGAGATATGCAACAGCATCTTAAAAACCCAAAATATAAAAAAATTGCATTTGCCAACTCGCTTGGCAAGTGCGACAACCTTCCCCGGATGCGGCAATCTACGGGGGTCGCCTATGTTTATTAGTGAACTTGTTATGGGCTTGTAATTAACGAATCAATATTTCATTATTAGACACTAGCACTATAAGTGAGACAAAAAAGCAATACTGCATAGCTTCCTTTTCAGATAATTAATTATGCATAACACAACATGCAATATGGGCATGCTAGTGAACAAGGGTTGTTCTCAAACAACTTAATATAGTAGAAACTAGCAACACCAAAATGTATTAAACTTAAGTTTAAAAAATATACATTATTTACAGATAATTGTTATCCTTCCGTAAAATTTCTTGAATGTAAATTCCGTAATATATATAATGCATTTTTGTGTGTTTGAGAGAGTTCCTAGGTGGTTTAGATTCATATTTGGACCCGGTAGATAGTGCTGTTGGCGCTCGAAAGAAAGAAACAGACCACCAACCCGCAGAAATCACCCGTGCGAAGCCGGATCAGAACGCTAGTAGTATAATAGTAGTATTATAATAAATTACAGAAATATTGAGATAAAAAGGAGGTTATTTATTGTGATGTAAAATATTCTACAAGTCCCGCCTAAAAGTTGTTTTTACTCTAATATTCAATTATTTTCATGGCGTCGACTTTTTTCAAGTGTAACCAAAATTAAAAATTTTAAATATGGCAATTTTGGAAGTGAATATATTATATAAGATGAATATTATATAAGAAGAAGAAAAGTTTAACTGTTTAGTCAGAACAATTTAGCTGAATTCTTTATTCTTCCAATAATATGTAGTAAGAACAAGATTTTAAAACAAGAATATGATGCAAGAATAGACAGTATTTTTTGTACCTTTTTATTTTACACATTCACTATTAGTAAGTAGGTATTACCACTAAACAAAAACTAAATAGAGAAAAAGAAAAAAGAACAAATATGATATAATAAAGCCACCACACTGCATCTCGATCTAAGGCAGCTCAATCACTAAACCAAACCATTTCATGACCATGCACTATGCTATGCGCACACGATAAACTTAGTACTGTCAAAGTGACATTTCGAATTTTTCTACACACTACAGCTACAAGTGCGTTGTGTGGATGTACGCTGAAATCTTTAAAAATACATTTAAAATATTCAGTTATTAATTTCAAACTGCGGCCGCATTTTTATGTATTTTATTTATATAATACATTATTAGTGACGGTGGGCATCGATTCGGGTTGCCCGCGTACTATGAAATTTACGGCGACTGCTTAAATCCTGAGCAACCACGGTCCTATGCCAGCAATTTTAAGTGCTAATTTACCATGTACTCGGCGGTAAAAGAAAAAACATCCTGAAAAATGGACATGTAAAATCCGTTCATATGCACAGGAGCAGTACACCGGACTAATTGTCTGATAACCCTCCTGAATAAAAAATTAGACTAACCTTAATAATTTAAATAAGATAATAATCACCACAGGCAATGGATATGCCAAAAAGTTTTTATGTCATCTGATAGATGGTAATATAACCGTAGTCAGAATGGAGTGCCAAAGAAGTTGCGAATAGTTTAGTACAGCGATAGTCATCTGTAGATGGTCCCGCAGTGAACTTTCGCTTGCTGATGATGAAAAAGAAGAATAATTAAAATGTCGACGTGTCTTGATGGTGAAATCTATTCTTATCCTGCGCGCATAGAACGAGACTTGTACAACAGAACGATATAGTCAAAAAATCAAATTACATTACCAACAGTATCGAAACATTATTTACCACATATACTTTTTCTTATATCATGTCATAGTTCGGTGTAGAGATAGCGGCCTGTTACACCAACCTGATTGGTTTCGAAGCGCGGGGGCTCCGATGGCGGCTCGTGAGCACCCTCCGCCGAACTGTCGCTGCCCTGCGCCCCAGGTTAGTTGTTATATTAGCTTATTACATCTAGCTTTAGCACATTTACAGTCTGCAGTTACAGTTACAGCAGTCACAGTTACAGGTGTTTAAAATACAAAATTAGAGAAGCGGGGGACATAGATCTTAGTAGTTTTGAAGCATAATCGAGTTATGATGACGGGTATAACAGATATATTATATGAATGACCATAGAATATTGTAAAAGTATTCAAATGAATGAGAGATGTATAAACATAAATAAACTGGCTTATTTATTGTAAATAAAAACCACTCGTAACATCTCCAGATACATGTAAGGCTTCGCAACCATCATCAACCCTTCACAGTCCACAGCTGGACACAGGCCTCTCCTAAAGAATGCCACACCGTCCTAAACCACCCTACGTGGCTTACCACTTCGCTTTCCGGTAAGAAGTCTCCAGTCGGGAACCTTTCTTTTCTAAGGGTTTTAGATATGTAAGGCAATATAGCCGAACCGTTACTGCCTATTGACTTGTTTGGCAATATCAGTTACTCTGGTCGTACAGCGGATATTTTCGTTCCGGATTTTATCATACAGAGCAATTCCGAGCATTCGCGAATCAGAATCGGTGCTCTTTTACGAGAATTTGTTGTTTGTAAAATCTGATGTAATGACCGGGATGATCATCAGCCTACATACATCTCAATGCTGGGCACAGGCCTCCTCTCACTTCTGAGAGGGTTTTAAGGCAAGGACGTGTCCACCGCGCTGCTCCTATGCATGTTGGCGGCGTTCACATGTTTTCGAATTTTATTCTTTATTTCTCAAATATGCAGGTTTCCTCGCGGTGTTTTCCACGTTATGAGCACGTGCTAACGCAGCACATTAATTTGCATTTAATAATCTCATTCGTGTGCCGGCGGGGATCAAACCGAGTTACTCGCGTAGTGTGAAATATACTGAGCTACCACGACTCCTGCTGATAACATGTAGCAACATCAAATATTAACGGACAACACAGTTTCATGCTTAATATAAATAAATGTTTATATATATATATATATATATATATATATATAATAACCAAAACATCACCAATAGATATATTATCAGGTCTTTACCTAGTAACTTCGAATAAATAGCCCATTAAAAGTACTACAATGTTTTTAAAATATCAGTTTTTTCCGTCATTTAATAAATTTCTTTCACACGTCTAGACCATAGGCCAATGTTGCTCAGGGTACTAATATCAATGATGTGTATTGATCAAGTACAAAAAAAATAATAAGAGAAGAGAAGAGAGAAAGCAATTAAGAAGAGAAATAAGTATTTTCAGTGATTGGTCCCTTTCTGGAAATTTGGATCTCAACAGCGATCCATAGAGGACCGGAGATTAAAGACGATAATAAAGAATTAAAAGCTAAGAACTATTTACGTGGAAATCCAATTCCGATAAAGCAGTAAAACTCCGAGAATAGATGGATTCCCATCGACACGACCTTTATAACAGAAAGAAGGCTTCATTAAAATGTAATTTTTCTATTAAAATGACAGTAAGTACACCAAATAATAATACTCGATTAATAGAATTCACATAAAACTAAAAATATATTTCTATGTAAACAGTAACTGCATAGGTAAGGACCTAAAATATATCAATAACATTAATTTGTTATTATTATTAATAAACAAGAAACAAAACAGAAGTTCAAAATTTTACCAGTACAGTAAATTCATTTATGACATACATAAAAAAATCACTACAATACAGATAATAAACACTTGAATGACATCACACTCCACATGCATCAAAATTCAATGCAAAGTAACCAAAAATAAACCTTATGCATAACGTGATTGATTCCGGTTCTGCTTTTCTCTTTATGGCACCCCAATTTCTTTAAAACGAAAATACATTGTAATGTAATAGCAGACAAATAAAAAAGGAAATAATTCCTTAAGTGGTATGAACCACTTACCAATTTTATCAAAAATAAAATTCAGAAATAATCCATTCACTAAATAAAATACGTGTTTGTTTAATCAATTATCAATTTATCTATTACACATTTCAGTGAAAATTTATAAAAACTACAGATTAGCAAAAAATCACTGGTCAGCTTAATTTTTAATATTTTTTTGACAACAGGCCAATAACCGACCGTGTCGCTTAAAGGATTTCATACTGACTATTTATGACTGCATATCAGGTTTAACGTTTAGAAAATACGTTATCAATCTCGTCCTATTGAGATCGAAGTCCTCAGTGTTGAGAGAGACTTCAAAGCCTGTTGAGAAACTTTCAAAGATGCCTACGGTTACCGACGATAAACACTATCGTCGACATTATGGAGATTTATTTTCCATTTCAGCAAGAATTCTTTTAAAGTATTTTGGAAGCTGCATCTAACAGCAGAAAAAATATTTCCAGTTATTTAAAAATACAGCCCACACATTTAAAAACTGAAAATATTTTTGATTAATCGCTAAGGATTTAAAAATTTTGATTTCTCCGAGAAGCTCCATGAAGGAGCGGAGATTAAACTCGATGTAACGGCCTGGCCACGTGGATCGGCGGCGCGAACGGCGAAGCGACAGGCGGGGCGATAATTCGCGCGGCGCGATTTTAGGGCCACGGGAAGTCATGTTTGCCGCCGCGACCAGATAGGCCGAGAGTGAATGTCTTTATCAAAGTTATCTCGATATTGCTTACAAAGTAATTGTTTTGTGATTCAAGACATAATATTTGGAAGAGATTGCGGAGTACATGATTTGAATAGGAATTGGGTTATAGATGGAGAATTCCACAACAAATAGAATGCATCTAGAAAAAAATTTTGAGTAAATACCAAAATGAGTGTCGAAACCAGCGATTGTATTCTGGTTAATATTCTGATAATATTGGAGATAAAAGTCAATGGGGATAAAATTTTAAGTTGTTTTTGTCGGCCCGGCATTTTTCGCGGCGAAAACAACTAAAATATTTTGTTCCCTATACTATTCTGCAGCCGCGTCTGCCGCCCGACTCCGTGGCTTGCACCGTACTGATTCATACATTTGTTTCAGTCGCCCGCCGCGCCGACAGTCGCCCGCGCGATTCGCCCGGTAAATTTCGCCGGTCACGTCGCCACTCGCCGCTACCCGCTACGCGTGGCTTGATCCATACATTTGTTTTAGTCGCTAGACGCCTCGCCGTTCGCGTCGCGCGAATTTTCGCTACGGCGAATGTGCCGTGGATAGGCCGTAAAAGCTAGTGAAGGCAAATTCATCTGATATTATCATAACATGGAAATGTATTTTTTATACTTTTATTATTTTGGTTCTAACAATGTACGGAACAGCCTAGATTGTACTAATAATATTCCGTAAAGTGGTGTAGGATAATGACAATCATTAATACATATCACCGAGCAAAACGTACGCAAACATTCACATCCACATAATCTGTCTGTATGTGCGTATCCTTTATAACTTAGATCATATGACCCAAATAAGACCTGAGATTATTACTGTACCATGTCATATTTGCGTCGTTGGCAGTCGAATTTCAAATGATGGTTATATTAACGAACATGACAATAAAATAAACTCAGATCATATAAACAACAGGAGATATGGCAAGGAGGCGTGGCACTTGCGAACGCATCTGGCTGCAAAGCGGCCTGATGCCAGTTTCGGTAATTAGTTGAATGTCAACTTGTGACGTCTTCACTGCTAGTGATTTTTGACAAAATGCCGCGTTGTTCAGTGATTGTTTGCAAAAATAACAGCTGTATTGTGAATTACATGAAAGATGGCATCTCATTTCACACGTAAGTACTAAAATATTAATGTTTTTCTTATTCAATTTATTAAAACATTACTTCGTGGTACTAGAAACACGATGAAAAACCAAATCAAATGTTTTCATTAGGAACAAAAACCATTGCTTGCTTAGTACAAATCGACCTGTGAATCAGCTGGTCTAATAGCGCAATGGATAAGTGTTTTACTGATACTCTCACTCACACGATAGTTTCGTGAAGCAGCCGCTGCCGGCTTTTGTGAGTGAATGATAGCGACAGATGTTTTTGTGTGAATAAGTTTTGTACGGTGCATGGTAAATGCACGCTGCGTATGATGAGATAAGGTTTATAATTGGTTGTGTAGTATGTTCTGATTTATAAAATGCGAGTGTGTGCGCGATTGTGTATCTATTGCTTTTACTGATGTGCATATGTAGTAGTTGGCGCGTGGTAAGGGCCAACTGGAGACACCGGGTTCCGATACATTTTCAACTACTGAGCATATCTCCTTATTTCTTATATCTATGAAAATAAAGGTGAATGAAAGCGAATACAAGTAAGAAGAAAGTGATGGCCTTGAAAGGGAAGAATGTAAAACAATATGTGAAATAAGAATAGGTGGAGAGTTGATTGAGCAAGTGGGTGAGTTTGTGTATTTGGGATGTGTATTAAGCGGGGATGTTAGATTGTAATAAGTATATAGAACGACGAGTGGGCGCAGGACATAGAACAAATGGAGTTCTTCACTCTATTGTAAGAAGCCAGAATGTATCAAAAAAGGCACGTGTGACAATTAACAATGCTGTGTAAGTTACTACCGTGATGTATGACAGTGACAGTTGGGTGTGGTAGAAGAAGCACTAGAATATAAGAGAATAAATGCTGTAGAAATGCAGTCATTAAGTAGCATATTAGGGATAAATTTGAATGATAGGGAAAAAAATTATATGATAAAAGAAGTGTGATGTGCAAGATGATGTTGTGACCAGGATTAAGGAAGAAATGCTTCGGTGGATTGGTCATGTAAAAAGAATGAACAAGCAAAATGGTGACAAAACAAATTTATATTGCAGAGGTGAACAGCAAAGTCGGAAAGCGACGCCCTAGACGAAAGCTTATAGACCAAATTAGCGATATATTGAAGACGAGCCAGAGTTAGGAGTACCCTTAACCGACGAGTATGTATGCGTAGTTATATGAGATACGAGAGAGATGTGTCAGGATTGTGCCGAATAAAAGTCCGTAGACTGCCTAACTCTCTGGGTGACTATTTATAATATTATATGACTGTTTTACTCTGCACAAGAAATGGACCAAAAAAGCGTTAAACATAATTTTTGATCAATTCAAGATGTCATTACCTGTTCGTGTCTCGGCGCGGGTCTTGCGTAGTAAGGCTCGGGCTCTCGCTCTGGACTCGACTCACACGACCTCTGTCGTTGGTACTGACCGTATGTCTCCTGCTGTTTGATGTTTAAAATTGATCACAATTAGTCGTAGTAATATTAAATAGAACCACTCTACACTTCCTTTTTGTATGTTTATCATAATATTGAATATAATAGTGCCCACTTAAAACGTAAATGTTTCAAATTTTTACGTGGTAGAGCCATGCTGAAGTTATATTAGTAGTATAATTGTAGCACGAATGGATCCGGAGGAGGACCATGCTCTGACAGAATACCAACGACAAATAGTAGCTTAATGCTGCTGTGTTTCGTATGGTGAGTGTAGAGAACCGGAGACCCTTTTTACTGGAAACGAGACATTCCACCTAAGTCCTCACGGATGACAACGCATCTGCATTTTGATTCGTAATCGAGGATAGATGTAGATGTCTATGGGCCACAGCAACCACTTACCATCATCTTATCCTATAAAAAAAATATTTTATGACATTCGGTGTTGTGACTGGTAGCGTGAGAGAATTAATGGGTGCGTTTGGCAGAAAAAAGCGCTAGCAAGTGCTTGTAAACAAAATGGCGATCGTAAGCGGTAAGTGCTGTCAAACGTATAGCATCCTCTAGGACACGATGTTCGTAACCGGGGAACCTAACCTAATTTAAATATATGTTTGTAAAGTATTCATATTAAAAACTTACCAATCATGAATTTTTAATAACATGTATACTTATGTTTATCCATGTCATTATATTACTTAAAACTAATATTGCACAAAACAACTTATAAACTCTATTTCAAAACAAACAAATTAAATAAGCAAAATGGCGGATTGTGTCAGCGCTACTGAAGTAGCAGCAATCGTGTCCTGGCCGAAAACTATTTTAGCGCTTGTAAGCGCTTGCTAGCGCTTTTTTCTGCCAAACGCACCCATTCACTTCATTTTGTCCCGGTGGATTACTTAAGGGACCACTATGGGTAATCCCCGTAATATTTAATAACTTCTGATAGATGGCTGTATAAGAAATGTTCTTTTTGTCAGACGTTATATATCCAAACCAGCGAAGAGCAACAGTGTCTAAGTTGCGAGGCGTTTGGTCGTTGTATTAGGGAGAATTTGCCGTAATCGCCACGCATCGCACTTTTTAAAGACGTTGCTTTCCGTTGCGACTCTTAATTCTGAGTTTACATTTGCTATTTTCAATATAGTATTATCCCCTTTTAGACGAAATTATGTCACCTTTTTTGCTCTTCCGTAAGTACTCTTTCGACACCTTAAAAACGAGTTGGGGGTCCTTCCGCTTTCATGTAGCAGTCAATTACGGTTTTACTTTATTTTAATTGTTCAGAATTCTTCTTTTTTATTTATTTTCTGGGATCACCAGCGCAAAGAACTCTATAGGTACTTTCATTAATATACCACATATACTAAAAATCCTTAATCAGAATCAGTATTCAAACGTATAGAAATTAACTTTACTCCAGAAAACTCGACCATAAAAACATTTAATGAAATTTTATTTGCAAATTATAAGTGATCTATTTACCTCCGCATTGGCCAGGAAGTAAAGGTACTGTCAAAGACCTGCTTTACCGATGCACGTGTCAACTAGCGGTAATAAAAACATATTACAAATTGCAATATTTAATTTAATTTTTTATGTTCGAGTTTTTCGAAGTAAATTAAAATACGTCTAAATTCCTATTCCTATACGTTTGAATACTGATTTAGATAGCGCACTTCACACACGCACACGCACACGCACACGCACACGCACCACGCACACGCACGCACGCACGCACACACACGCACGCACACACCACACCACACGCCAAACGACACACGCACACGCACACGCACACGCCCACACACACACACACACACACACACACATATATATATATGTGTGTATATATATGTATATGTATATATATATATATATATCTGAGACATATACTAGATGTAACAAAAACAACATTCAATCATCAATCATGCCTTATTTTTAAATAATCTTGCTTATTATAACAGGTTTATGATATTGGTCATATTTCACTATAGTCAACCAAATCTAAGAAATACCTTTTGACGTTTCACATTAATCATTCAGCAATAACTTTGCACAAGCATTCTCACACGATTTAAAATAACCTTTTACGTAAATCCGAAGAATTACAAAGTTATCTGTATTTCATTACAACGTGTATAGTTTTTTTATCACTAAATTAAATTGGAATCTTTTAAACAAAGCAAAATATCGAAAAATAATCAGTATCAACTTTTTGTACTTGACGTCGTTTCAATGATATGTCGCTTTGTACATTACCGTAGTGTTTGAAAGATTAAAATTAATTGTTATGCGAATAATCGGCAAAAATATTCCAATAATCGGTAAAAATATTCAAATAATCGATACTTAATTTTTAATGTATAGTTTTTTAATTTAATATTTAGACTTTGAAAGCGACACTAATTTTGACTGCATTATTGAAAATCAAACAACGACAGCTCAACTAGTTGTACTGAAAGTGATTGAATAAATTTATTTTTAATTTAGTTATAATCTTAGAACTTCGTAACTGTGCCTCTAGAAATATAGTACCTAACAACAAATACGTAGAAACTGATAAATCTTGTGTTTTAAATTATCCGTTTTTAATTTATTCTGGTATTATTCAAACCAAAATGTAAAATGATTACCAACTCTAAATAATCGATATCGATTTTTTTAAGAATCGAATATTGTACGTTCCCATTTTTTGGTTGGCATGCCTGGTGCAATAAGTCTGACAGCTGTCAAAATGTATTTCTTAGATTTGGTTGACTATAATCGGTTATGTTTTAGCCTCTGATAGGGGAACGAGTAGTAACTTTTTAAACTTATATATTTTTCAGTGACCTTATAATTAAAAATCAAATTAAATATTTTATACCTGTTGGGGATATCCTTCGTCATCAGAATCAGGTATGTGAGCACCACGTCGCATTGCCTCTTGGACCTGGAATAATATATGGCATTCGTAATAAATGTTTGTACTATAAAGTACGTAATAAAATACCTATTAGCATTCATGAAAACATCGTAATATCGATTTCAAATAAATTCAAGGGCCTGATTTAAAAATATATTAATTTTTTTTTAAATAATATAGCTTTTAGTAGATGTATTTAAATAAACGTAACAAGCATACATGCAGTTACCGTACATTTTCACGAAGAATTCAATAGAAAAAATTGTAGATCAAAACACTGATCAATTTTTATACAATAAATCATACCTCTTCAGGCTGGACGATAACATTGTCTAATTTCTCTAAATTTGGTAAATTCCTCAGCACCGTCATCCTGTATCTGAAAATTAAAAAAAGGACATTTAAATTTTTTTTAAAGTATACTCTCTTAGAAATCTAAGTGGAATGGAATTGTTGAAAAGTTATTTTTCATACACTGATTCGGAAATAACGTCTGTCATGGGAAGAACGATCAAGAAAGAGAGAGATCAAAAAAGATTCCAGCCCAGCTGGAATCTTTTTTAATTTACATATATGAAGTGATGAAGAGTGCATATATCGCATATTACAATGCAATAATCAAATACATACATACATACATACATTTTATATACATACACACAAATACATATATTCGAAGATATCCGTAGTAGGACCAGAGTGACCGACATAGCCCAAGGGATAAGTAAGCTGAAGTGGCAATGGGCCGGCCATATAGCTCGAAGAACCAACAACCGATGGGGGAAAAAGGTTCTCGAGTGGCAGCCTTGTATCGGTAGGCAAAGTGTAGGGCGACCCCCCCCCCACACTAGACGGACTAAAGACTTGGTAAGACATGCAGGAAGTCGATGGATGCTGGTGGCTCAGGATCGTGCTATGTGGCGTTCCTTGGGGGAGGTCTATATTCAACAGTGGACTTGTGAAGGGCTGTAATGATGATGAATTATACATATACATATTTATAAATATTTTGTAATATATTACAGCTATATATCATAATCACAAACCTTATCAAGAAAAGTAGATATGGCAATAAAATATATGTAGAACACGTACATATTTAAATAATAATATTAATCATTTTTTTGAAAGACGCAATGCTTTGGACTTTGTTAAAGGAAGCGTGTTCCATTATTTAATTGCTTTGACACAAAAGGGGGAATGACAAAATTTTGACGTATATATGCTCATAGTTTACATTTACATACCCTATCTGTATTACAGCATACGTATGATGTATTTTAGAAGTACATGGTGGTGGTGAAAGATTAAGTCTGAGGCTTGGTTGAAAGCGTTCGACGGAGCGTGTAGCGTAACGATTTGTTTCCCATACCACTTTAACGGGCGCCACCGAGGTCACTCCAATAGAAGTGTTTTTTTTTTTAAATTTGCGTTTGTCTTGACGACACGCTGCACACTCCGCCCAACTGATGATAGGAGCAGGGTGTAAGGTTTGAAGCGGTTCAAGTCAAATCCACCTTCAGTCAATGCAAATCTTTCCGACTTCACATAAGCTGGTAACCATTTTGAATAAGTTGCTAAATCCCGTGACCAACGTTCTAAAACTATAGTTTACATTTCAAAATTATATTCTTTACTAACTCTTTGTTGGTGTACAAACTATAAGACAGCAATTTAAAAAAAAACTTTTATATAATATTTTTATGAGTAACCATTCATTACATAACATTCAAGGTAATAGATGCATGTTCATCACATCACACATCACAAAGGCCGCTTATTGTAAAATATCTTTAAGTTGTGCATAATATACCTATATTATGATTGTTCTAGTCTCTTAGTTTGTAACTGCACAATTGTATTAAGTAATACACCTGTGATGATAGTTGTAAGTGGTAAACAAATAAATAAATAAAATAAATCTTAACTCTAATGAATACAGGCTGCTGAGCTGGCCCCAAGTTATACTATTTTCAGAGGTACTTACTCAGGATGCTGTGTGCAGGGATTCTCATCAAGCCAGAGGCTTGTGAGGTCTGGCAGATGTCGCAGATGACGGATCTCCGCCAGGTCTCGAATCTCATTCTTACGCACGTACAATTCACGAAGCCGCCGACAACCGGCGAAGTCGTCAAGTGTGCGGATCTTGTTTATACTGGAAGAAAAAAATACATTAAATTTCATCACAATTACGTAAAATCTTCTATTCATATATAAAGTGGTAAATTGTATTAGCTGATGACAGCGCCACAATACACATGATTGATGCAATGCCATATCTAGGTAAATGCACTCACACCGATAGCTTGCCACTCGGTGAATTTTACGAAAAAAAAAAACAAACAAAAGCAGTTCATGGCAATAATAGAAATGTCACATGTGAAAATTGGTTTACATCAGTTCCATTAGTAAAAAACTTGCAAAAGCAGCGATACAACTTGGACCTTGGTCGGCACAATGAGATCGAACAAACGGGAAATACCGGAAGAGATGAAAAATGTGCATTGCAGGCAGTAACAAAAATAATCTATGTAACCGACCTCAAAATTCCTAAAACTCATTATTCGCGTAAATATATCATTAAGTAGGAACATCCATATTCTATTATGATAGGCCGTTGACGTTCGTTTCGTACAAACCGAAACAAGCCAAATTAGTATCTGTTCTTTCATCGTGCGATGAAGAAGGCACAGTTCATTCTACGACAGGCAAGCCAAACATGATTAATTTTTATAATGAAATAAAGGGTGAAGTTGACAGCAAATGTGCTCGTCGATGTCTTACAGCCGCAGAACAAACAGATGGTCCATGGCTGTTTTATGGGTTATTGAATATGGCATTTATAAATGCATACATTATTTATTGTGATAATATCCTATCCAAGAAAGAAAAACCACTGGGACGTAGAGATTTTATGAAAAAACTCAGCAATAGTTTAACGGTCCCTTGGATAGAACAAGGCAGCATATGGTAACGTTACCGATAAATATAAAAGAAAAAAAAAATGTGCTTGATTGCCAAAAAGTCAAAACGAACGTCCCACACACATTGACTTATATATTACTAGCGTAAGGACCGGGCCGACCGAACAACTAAAACGGACCAATGCATTGGCCCTAAAATTACAATTTAGGGTCAACGCGAATCGCGAATCGTGGTGCGCGCGCAGGACAGATTTGCCTGTCACAAATATGTCTAGTTGCGTGGTAAAAGAATTCAAAAATTACGATACAAAGATAAAAAAACATGGGATATCTATCGTATCATCGGTAAATAACCTTATATTATTTTTGTTACTATTAAATTATTATATAAATGCATTTTTAGTTTTATTTTACAGTTAGTTTAGTTACGTTACCAAGATTAGGCCATGGTTGGACTCAGACCCTCAAAAATATTGTAAATGGAAAATAATATTATTCTATTTAAAAAAATTGTATCACGTTTGACGTTTCATGTTTTTTTTTCCATGTGGCGGGATTTTGGCGTCACGCGTCTAGTTTATCTATACGTTTCGTTTTTTGACGGTTTTATTTTTATTTCTGTTTAATTTTCGTCTAAAGAACGTAAGTTAAATTTTGAATATTGGTACCTAATATATTTTATATTCAATACGGGTAAAAGGAAAAGAGTACAAAAGAAAAGAATCGATCGAGCATCGATTGACCAGAAAGGGAGCTACTTCAAATTTTATTAAAAAACGCGGTACTCATGTACAATACAGAAATCCTCGATATCGTAAGGTTAATATTAAAATGTAAAAGGACCCCATAATAATACAAGTCGATCTTTAGGTAAAATTATGATATGTTCGCTTAGTAGTAAGTACTACAAACTATGAAATAATGTTACAATTAGAATAATTATACTACGAAATTCGACCCTGGTTACGTCGTGTTTTGATATGACGTTTGTATTATGACAGATATGCGCTACTTTTTCTTGTATAAAAAGGTAAGAGTAAAATATTTAGATGGGCCTATCCTTCCTTTTGAAATCTTTGGCCACATAATGTGTAGCTGTACCTCGAACAAAGGAAAGAAAATATTGTCCTTGTTTATTGTGTACAAAAATTAGAAGGATGACAAAGACAATTTGCGACAGCTGCAATAATCCCATTTGTGGAGAGCACAAGTCCAGTGCCTGTCCTGGGCCTTTGAGGCCAAAATAAATTAAAAGTGATGTTTACTTAGGTTTTTTATAATATAGAAATTACAAAAAGTTAATTTTAAACAGTTTACATTAATTTAACTCTGGAAGAGATTCCTAATTGTTTATGTTTTGTAGAGTAAGAAGTACCGTGATTGGTTCTTTATAATTTTTTTTCAATAAAATGTAAATAAACTCTTACGTTTTTCATTTCCTTGTAACACAATGACATATACTAAAATATGTTACCACATTCATAAACCTAGTACATATACATAATCTAATATATTATCCCCATTTGTTAATCACACGTCGAATCGACGTATGATTGATATTTAGGGTATAGTGCATGGACCTATAAAAAAGTGTTTTCTAGGTCCATGGTACACTGTAATATGGTTATCTATGAATAAATGAATGAATGAATGAATGAATGAATATACTTTATTGCACACCACAAACAAATTTTTTTTTTTTTTTTTTTTTTATTTATTAAAGCATCACCAACATTTGTATACATTGTTAAATTATAATTTACATACATACATAGATAGGGTATTACTTTAAATGCTACAAACTATTATAGGTGATTACAACATGCACTGGAATAAACATCAAGAATATTACATAGTTACAGAAAACCAAAACGTTAAAAAAATACAAAAACTTAATCTATTACATTTGCATAATGTTTGAGTAGTTCTTTTCTGAGCTTGTTAGGTGAGTCGGAATTAATATCAAAAGCGTGGGGAAGTTCATTGACCAATTTACTTAACCTAGAGATCGGGGAATTAGCGCCAAATACTGTTTTACGAAGAGGTGATCTAATAGTAATTACTCTCTTACGGGGGTATCTATGAGGAACGCGAAATTTTATCTTATTCAACAATTGAGGGCAGTTAATTTTATTATTCAATAATTTGCTTACGAAGAGTAAGTCGGATATTTGTCTGCGATTGGCCAAGGACGTAATTTTGAAAAAAGATAGCTGTTTTTTATACGAAGAAAGTTTCTTTTTTGAAATTCGATTTGAGTATACTAAATGCCACATGAATCTTTTTTGTATTCGTTCTAAGCGTAAAGAATGCGTTGCATAATGTGGTCTCCAAACTACAGAACAGTATTCTAAGATACTTCGTACTAAATTGTTGTAGAGCGTTATTTTGATTTTATTGCTGCGGAAAAATTTAATATTTCTGTAAAGAAATCCTAACATTTTGGTGGCACGTTTTGTAATATATTCCATATGAGGCACGAATGTGAGTTTGCTGTCGAATATGACGCCTAAATCCTTGGTCTCTTGTAGTTCCTGTAAATTATTATTGCCTATATGATAACTGTAGTGAACTAGATTCATTTTCCGAGCAAATTTTACGTAGAAACATTTTTTTGCATTGAGTTCCATCTTATTCAAATTACACCAGTGAAAGATATTGTCAAGATCGCACTGGAGTTTACGTGCATCATCTGTCGTTTCAATTATTCTGCAAAATTTTAAGTCATCAGCATACATGTAAGATTCAGAAAATTTTAGGCACAAAAGGCAGGTCATTAATATAAACATTAAACAGAAGTGGGCCCAGGTGAGATCCCTGTTGTACGCCAGATGTGATTTTACGCAAACTCGACTTAAAGCCATTGATGACCACATAAAAAGTACGGTCGGTTAGATAAGACCAGATCCATTGCATTAAACCATTACAGATTCCATATGCGGACAGTTTTTTTAGGAGTACACTATGTGAAATGCGATCAAAAGCCTTACTAAAATCCGTGTATATGACGTCAACTTGTTTATTGGCATCAAGTGCTTCATAAAGAGTTTCAGTGAAGCTTACCAGATTAGAGTTTGTTGATCTACATTGAACAAACCCGTGTTGCTTATCACTAAGTAATTGCTTAAAATGATCTTGTAGAAATGGACATATCAAAGCTTCAAAAATTTTAGCAAATGATGACAGTATTGAAATGGGCCTGTAGTTTTTTACTGAATCTTCATTTCCCGATTTATGAATAGGAATAACCTTTGCAATTTTCCATTTAGCCGGGAACATGCCTGTTGAGAGTGATTTATTGTAAATTAATGACAGGGGTGATACTAAATATTTAGCACATGCCGCTATAAAAACGGGTGGGATCCCATCAGGGCCGGGACCTTTATTACAGTCAATACTTTTTAATTTTTTTAAAAGTGATTCGTTATCGATAACAATAGGCGAAAGATGTAGACTATAGTTTTCTAAATAATTTAAATAATTAGAGAGAACGTAATTATTCGAAGCATTGTCAACCCCGTCAGTATATACAGATGCAAATTGAGATGAGAATAGTTCACATACTTGTTCCCCATCTGTAGCAGTTACATTTCCGTCAGACATTGAAATAGGGTATGCACTAGTACCTCCGCGTTTGTTTTTTATGAATGACCAAAATGATTTTGAATTACTGGCTATTTGCTTCTCCAAGTTGCTAATGTAACGATTATAGCACTCTGTTGCCATTCGTCCACAACGAGAACTTAATAATTGTAACTCTAATTCATCCATAGGATTTCGATATTTTTTAAACCGACACCTGATTTTATATTTATCTTTAAGGGTTCTAATAAGATTTTTATCAAACCAAGGTGGGTATTTATTATTTCTTATTTTCTTCTTAGGGACAAACTTTGCAATAATGGCGTTAATTTTGCTATAGAATGTTTCAAGCATGACATCTACACTATGATGACCCTTAAAAATATTTTCCCAGTTGCATTTTGACAATTCCTTATTTATCTTTTCATAATCCCCTTTGTAAAAGTTTAACTTAATAATATTATTATTAAAACAGAGTTTTGTTTCATTAATCAACGTAATATCAACCTCAAGAGGTGGATGTAATTGATCAATAATACTTAATGAGTTATGAGAACGGCTCACAGTACAAGATGGCAAGTTAGATAAAACAAGATCGAGAACTCGGTTAGACGCATTAACTATATGATTAAGTTGTTGTAAACCATTC